GTTCTCTTACCCTTTCAACCGAGTTTGTTCAAGCAAGGTTATCTTGAAACACTTCAGTACTGCTGCGAGTAGGCTACTTTATAAATGCTTATCAAACTACCTGCTTGATTAAATGAATTAAATTGTAATTGACCGGTGCCACTAATGGTTTTGTAAAAAAAAACAGTGAAAACAGTTTAATACAGGCTTCTCTGAAACTGAGTATTTAACTTTAATTTTATTTAGGCTAGATTATTATTTTATTTAACAAACCAGTTTGAGTTTTAGGCCCGAAACATATAGCGGACTGGTTTTGAAGCACTTTACCTCCGATGATATTCATCACTTTTGTTTCTAGTAGATAACTGACTAACAAAAATATATTTAAATTAAGATACAATGATGTGCTTTCATTTTCTTGGTCTCACTAGCAGCAAGTTAAGTTGAGGGAGTGTTTAAGCTATCATACATTTAGATTTAGTAAAGGTACATGAGCTGTCACTGGGGTGGTACCTTTTCAAAAAGAACTTAAAAGGTCCATTAAAGTATATAGTAGTACCTACAACATTTAAGAGGAACACTTATGCACTTTTTAGATACTAATATGTACCTTTGAGGTATTATTATGGACATTTTAGGCACAAATTTGTTCCTTTTGAAAAGGTACCACCCCGGTTACAGCTTGCATACCTTTTTTTTCTGAGAGTACAGTAGCTGTCATGTCTTGGACACCTCACCATTCCCAGACATCTTGAATGACCTACCTGAGAGGTAAAATTTGAACCACTGAAATGTTGTTTCTGACATGCCAGTGGAGGGTTGACTGGAGAATCTGGTGGTTAATCATGTCAAAAGTGAAAAATGACAAAAAAATCTAACAAATTCAACAGATTAGTACTGAGGATTTGCAAACCAAAGACTCAAGGTTTCAACAACTGAGAGAAAATCTATCTAAGTAGAATGTCTGTTTTTGAGCCAGACTGGGTACTGTCCAGGACGCTGTTGTGCACAAGAAAGACTTGGAAATTTGGTTGAATTCAACTCACTCAAGTGTTTAAGCTATGGAAGAAGAAATACTGGTCTGTAATTTTCTAAAAGTGCTGGATTTACCATGGCTTTTAGGAGCAGTGGTGTAATCGAAGACTGCTAAAAGGGATATGTTGATGTACTGTACAAATAAAGTGGATATAGCTTGAAGGAGATGAGATGGAATATTATCGAGCAGACAAGTAGACTGTTAAAACGGATGGGTTTTGCATGAGAGGGAGCATAGCTTTGCTAGCTAGATGTTTTTGTCTGTTGGCGATACAGAGAACTTTGCACTGATGCACTGTAAATGAGCTCTGCACTTCTTGTCAGCAGAAAGGTGTTAAAACTGAACACAGAATATGTGCTGAGAAAGTTTTGTGCTTCTTCAGAGAATTCATAGAAAAAGAGGACGTATGTATGGATGCGGCCAATGGAAGACTGGAGAATCATTGACAAGTGACAAATTTCACTAAATTCCACCTGTTAATATCAGTTGCCTATATAAGTTGAAGTCAGGAAACGAAAGTTGTTGCGCACCTCCTGAATGTAATGTTTGCTTTGCATTGAGGATAACAGAATTCTGTAAATCAAATTATTCGTTTATATCCAATAAATTGCTAATATGGTAAAGCTTGAAGAAAAACCTCTCCTGACCTTTTTTTATTAAACACGCATGGAATTGACTGAATATTCCAACAGTTTTTACAATGAAACATGCTGAAAAGACATTGACAGAAGGAAATTGACAAAGTAGGGAGGGGAGGAAGATGTTTAAAGAGCATATGATATTTAGAGGACATGTTAATTTTGTTATGATAGTATTAGGGTATTTTTTGTACTGAATACATTAGTAGTGAAGGAATAGCGCTGTGATGGAAACATACAAAGGTCAGAGAGTTAAGGCCAATGATAACAGGTACTTCAGATAGTCAGTGGGCAGAGTGGATGGCATGGGCTGGCCTTGATGAGTGGTTGGAAGTGAAGATGCAACCATTATGGAGAAATAACTACTTAATGTAAAAGGAAAACTCCACATTGAAACCTTTTTGTACAGTAACATGCCATTTTTGATGCTAGAGGTTATTCTTGAACCTTTGATGGCTGCAAAGAACCTTCAGTTTTGTAAGGTAAATGTGGCATATTATAGTGCTACAAATTTAAATGTCATGGATTCAATTTTTGATAAAACTACAACTTAAAAAGCACTGCATGACTAGATAATGATTAACTTACAGCAAAGGAAGAAGAGTCCAAAACAGGCAACGAAAAAATGGGAGCGCAAGAGAACTATGGGAATATTAGGATGGAAAAAACAAAAAAGCTTGTCTCATTTATTCTTTGATTCATATGGATCCCCCTGCATGATCTTCTTCCACTGGAAAGAGAGAGAGAGAAGATGAGAGACTGAAAGAGAGAAATGTAGGCACCCTGTTTGTGGTCTGTAGAGTTTGGTTCCCTGCCTGCCCCCTCCCTCAAAGCCTCCCCTTTTGCTTTTTGGGTAAACAATCCTCTGAAATCCACTCAGAGCATAACTTTACCCACAGTGAATGAGACCTCAGTGTATGAAGGGTCAAAACCCGTATCACACAAAACAGATATGTTTCAGAGTTGGTATTATGCTGGGAGTGTGATTGACTGGTCATCTTTGTTCCACAAGGCTGTTTTGGTCAGTCGGTTTATTTTGAGTTGCTTTTGCCATGAGCTACAAATCCACCGGTGAACTTCACTTTCACTTCACCTCTCTCTCTCTCTCTCACAGTCATATAAAGGCCAGGTCTGTATGTCATAACAGGGAACCACTATGTTCAGTAGTTTTGCAACCGACGCCCTTCCCTCTCTTCTCTCTTTTGCAAACTCTTTTTCTCTGGCCTTTTCCTGTCTCTCTGTCACTCCATCCATGCAGTTCATTCATCAACTACAGCTGTTCCTCACGGCTCTTAATCTCTTGCTGCTTGGACACTTGATATGCCAAAATGAATATATCTTCATGTTTCCACATATTTTTAATCTTAGCAAATAGATATTGTGTAGAATATTATTAAAATGTTGTAATGTTGTGCAAGGAAAATCTAGTGGATCGGGTAGTTCTAGACATGTGGTCTTTAAGCTCAGCTGATAATCAAACACATCTTCAAGGTTTCTGACTATTCTCTATTGAAAAAAATGGTTGACGTGTCTATCTGGCTTTTTTTTTTTTTTTTTTTTTTTGAAGTATTGGGTTCCCTAAAACTATGTCTTGGCAAGGTTTAGTTAAAGGTGACGGTCCTTCAAAGAAGTGTCTGTCGGATTTGCTGAGGTTAGTGTAGGTACTCCAGATCATCAGGCTGGAATGAGAGGTAAAGTTGAGTGTCATCGGCATAGCAAGGATGTAAAAAGCCATATTTCTGAATGACAGGTTTTGCCTCATAATTGGGGAATAGAAGTGTACACTACCTGACAAAAGCCTTGTCGTCAATCCCAGTTGTAAGAGCAACAAATAAACGAATCTGTTGAACTGCATCGCAGTCATCACAAATACTGCAGAAGACCTATTGGAACCCACATGGACGCAAGATTCTCACAGAAATCAGTTAAGGTTGATGAAGGAAAAATCATGGTTTGGGATTGCATTCAGCATGGGGCTTTGCGAGAGATCTGCAGAGTGGGTGGCAACATCAACAGCATGAGGTATCAAGACATTTGTGCGGCCCATTACATTACAAACCAAAGGAGAGGGCAGTCTCTTTAACAGGATAGCGCTCCTTCTCATACTTCAGCCTCCACATCAAAGTTCCTAAAAGCAAAGAAGGTCAAGGTGCTTCAGGACTGGCCAGCCCAGTCACCAGACATGAACATTATTGGGCATGTCTGAGGTAAGATGGAGGAGGCATTGAAGATATATCCAAAGAATCTTGATGAACTCTGGAAGTCCTGCAAGAACGCTTTCTTTGCTATTTCAGATGACTTTATTAATAAGTTATCTTAGTCATTGTAGAGACGTATAGATACAGTCGTTCAAGCTCATGGAGTCATACACAATATTAATTCTTATTCAAGCAAAGTCAAACTTTACTGTTGTAATTAAATAATTAAAAATCAAGGCATGATCATATTTTATTTTGGTAAAATACGCATAATCTAGAGGCATTTGCCTTTCATATAAGCCATTTCTGATACCAAATGATCAACTAGAAGGCAAGTTATTATTTGTTGTTCCCAAAACTTGGATAGGTGACAAGACTTTTGTCTTATAATGTAGTGGACTGAGAACCGAGCCCAGATAGTAGATAGATGTTTTGATATGTTTGCACATATTTATCATCTTAGCATATAGATGCATTTTTTTTTTAAATGTATTCAAGATTTGTGTGTAGACATTTAAAATTAAATGAAAGTATACAATGCAATCTGAACCATTTTAATTTACAGCAGCAACTATTTGGCTACAATGGTAGTTTTATAACAGAAGTGTTTGGACAATGTGTTGTTTTTGTTGTTGTTGTTTTTATTTTAAATAAATATTACTAAATCATAGCAAATGTTTAAGCATGTATACTTTTTAAGTAATTCCTTTATTTAGTGCTTTGAATTAAACTGCTATAAAAAGACAGTCAAAATATTTTGAATATTACAGATCATTACTATTTCAAATAAATGTTTTTAAAACATCTTACCAACTTCAGCATCCATGTATATTTTTAAGTAAGGTCTTTTGTTTGGACATGCTGAACATTTATCCCTACTCCTAAATCTAATCCTGACAATAACTTATCCTTGAAATCAGAGAAAAATGATAGATTAATAAAATTAGTCTAGAAATACAAAACCCTTGTTGTGAACCTGACTTTAACGATAAACTTATTCATTATATCTGATTTGTTCATTTTTCTATATAGCCATTCAAATGATCCAACATGTTAGATTTGGAGTATAGATGTGTATAATATTTAGTACTATATTCTATACTACAAAGTACTCATACAACTCTTGCACTCTCTCTCTCTCTCCTTTAGGGCTGTGTGAATGTTTTAATATTGATGTAAAGAGACCAAGGATCTTCAGTGGACCAGAAGATGCTTTGTTTGGTTTCTCTGTGTTGCAGCATGATGACAATGGAGAAAAATTGTAAGTAATGTTTCAGTACTTGTTTATTTTTGTAACTCACATGTAGATTTAAGAACTAGGTTTATTATAGTGTTAATTAACCTCGAAATTAAAATTCTGCCAACATTTATTTACCGTCATGTTATTCATCTTCCAAAACTGAAGATGTTTTTAGCAAATTTGAGATATTTCTGTCCCTCCATTTAAAGTATATTCACCCAAAACTGTCAAGATTCAAAACATTCATAAAGAGATCATAAACTTTATCCATATGAGTCACAAGTAGTTTATTTTGTATTTGAAACAACACAAGGATGCGTAAATAATGGCAAAATTTAAATTTCAGGGTAAACAAACCATGTCAGGTTGATTGCAAACCATAATAAAACAGGCATAAAATTATGGACTGTTTTGCTGTTCTTTCAGAGTCTGCTTTTTAGTGCTGTTTGTGCTGCTCCTTGTGCTGCAACACAGGCTCATTGGAAATACATGCTTCAGCCTACATTTTTTTGTGAAACTGCAAAAACGTACCTCAAAATCTGTTTCAATGTAGTTTATTAAAAATGATATAGTGCATTATGACCAATGCTAACAATTTTTGTTCCTTTAAACACTAATGATAATTACAGAGACATAGTATTGGTAAATAAAAAATAATTTTCTCTGCACAAAACCCAATAAATATCACAAAACAAAGAACAGTGGGGTGATGCAGTGGTGCAGTAGGAAGTGCTGTCGCCTCACAGCAAGAAGGTTGCTGGTTCGAGCCTTGGCTGGGTCAGTTGGCATTTCTATGTGGAATTTGTATGTTCTCCCTGCGTTCGCGAGGGTTTCCTCCGGGTGCTCCGGTTTTCCCCACAGTCCAAAGACATGTGGTACAGCTGAATTGGGTAGGCTATATTGTCCGTGTATGTGTGTGAATGAGTGTGTATGAATGTTTCCCAGAGATGGGTTTCAGCTGGAAGGGCATCCGCTATATAGAACATATGCTGGATAAGTTGGCGGTTCATTCCTCTGTGGCGACCCCAGATTAATAAAGGGACTAAGCCGAAAAGAAAATGAATGAATGAATGAAAATTAACAGGGTCTAATTTTCATAATAGGTTTAATTCACATATCCATCACTATATGGATAATCTTTCTGGCATTGTCAGTTTGCTCCGTAGCTCACATTGTACAGTGTTGCGGTTGCAGTGCATTGCTTTGAGTTCACTGAAGCACGTTTCCATAAGACAGATAAAAGCAGGGTAAAGTAGAAGAAAAGTACTTGGTTGCAGTGCATGTTTGCTTTTGAAAATCCTATTGGTTGTGTTTAAGAAAGGATTTAGGTTAGTTAATCGCTGGTCTAAGTAATGTGTATGACAAGCCTCACCTTCTCGTGAACATATACAAGAAGGATCATATAAGAATACATACTCTAAGTAATGTATTAGAGATTTCCAAAATGTAGCCCTTGAAAAAGATTTAGTATTCTCTAAAAGTATGCAGTCGTGTGCAGTAAACATGAGCCAGGCTAAAACTGGGTTTGTGTAAGATGAGTAAACTTGCAGAGGAGCAGGAGTAACACACGAGAAGCTAGACAATAACTGAATATGTAAAGCACTGATTATATATGTGAAATACTCGTATGAAGCTATATCTGTAAGAGGCATTCAGGAGAGTGAGTAATATATTATCAAATGAATGTACCATCATGACAATGTATGTAAACATTCCTAAGAGGTGCATCTATGGAGAAGACATCTCTGGTGTGAAAACAGTTGCATATGTTGCAGTGGTCAGGGCCAAAAATAACATGAAACCTCAGACCTCTCTGTAAAACAAGATGGTCAAAAGATAAAATGAGAACACTTAGAGGTGCATGGGAAGAAAACTGTGAGACTATAGATTGCTATAAAGTTTGCTCTGCACTATCTTGGCTTTATCATGTTTAATAAAGTCTATCCTCTGACGGTGAAAACCTACAGTCTGATCGTGGTTAATTAATGGAAAGGCCAGTTATGGCCTCTACCTCACGCTAGTGGTCTGAGCCGTTTTCTTGCTAAAATCGTTTTTATTTGCATTGTACAAATTATCTTTATTGACATTGCTTTAGCACATAAATAGTTATTTATATTCACAATAAAGAAACAAATATCTATATAAAATGATCATTATTTAATGAACATTAAACGATCATTGACAGGTGAAGGTCATGTGATCATCAGGAAGCTAGCAGCATCTCATTTCTCATGTGTTCTCTCGCAGTACGAGTTACTCTTCTAAGGTAACCTGCAAGAGAGAATGGATACCACATGAACTCGAATCTGTGCACAGACACAGCCATGACCTTTATTGCCTGCCTCTCACCTGATTATTTATTTTAAAATTTGGACAGCAAAAATGAAACAAATATATTCTTTAGGCGCAAAAAAAGAGGAGCAGAAAATGAATATGAGCAGAGACAAGCAAAAGATCCTCTTTAGCATTTTAAAGTAGTTATAAACAAGATTTTTAAAACATAATCTAGTTGCACAATCATTAAAAATAGGCAATTACAAATGAATAAACTTCATCTGAAATATTTGATCTTTTCCCGGTTTTAAAAGACAAAGCTTAAACTTGGTCTAAAAATCGTTTTACTGAAATGCAATTTTACTGAAGTCTCTCGCTGGCATATTTTGCACACTGTTTTTTTTTTTTTTCTGAAACATGTTTATAAGAGTTTTAAGCCCACTTTAATCTCTGAAACTTGTCTCTCAAAAATCTAGACACCAGTTAAATAATAAGTCAAAGGCAGGAACAGGGAATAATAAACACTTACTTATTTTATTCATGAATCAGTTTTTGCACTGTATAATGTTAATTGTTGTTTTTTTGCTTTTTTTAATGAGTATATAATAAGTAGAAGAAATGTGGCAAATCTTTAAGCATTACTTTTCAGTTTTATTGACTGCATTAAATGAACAATAAACCATTGTGGGCTGATATGCAATGGCAATACTCCACTAAATAACTAAGAGCAAAGTGATTCTGCTCCAAAATGATTCTGCTCCCAAACGTTTATGGCCAGCCCCGGTCCACAGTAATATATATTTATGTTTCACAAAACTGTAGGCTGGGTCACGTATTTCCAATGAGCCTGGACTGTTGTTTTGATATTATATTTTGACTGATGCATTGTTTTATTAAACAGACTCCTAGTTGGTGCTCCATGGGATGGACCACAAAATAATAGGAAGGGAGATATTTACAAGTGCATTGTGGAAGATGAGAATTCCAATTGCTCCAAAGTTAATCTAGGTAATGAACTCACTGTCTGTAAACTGAAATGTACATAAACTGAGTGTTGTGCATCGAGTGGTAGTTAACTATATGCTTTTGTGCTATTCTGTGTACAGGTGAAAATGCATTTCAGAATGTGTCTCGAAATCTTAAAAACTCTCATTTGGGGATGACCCTGACCCCTACTGATTCAGACGGCTTCCTGGTGAGATTATATTCGAGCATCTGTAGATGATTTTAAGCAATATTTGGATTGTTAAGAGATGTTTTATATATATATATATATATATATATATATATATATATATATATATATATATATATATATATATATATATATATATATATATATATATATATACATACACCATGTGTGTGAGTAGGCATGAGTATGTACATGTTTGTGGTGTGGCATTAGAATGAGTGGTTCTGAAATCCCCTCTGTCTCATCCAGCCACCACCATCTGTTATGACCAGTCTATCATTTGCCTGTGACCACCTGCAAAACAGTGGCCACTATTGGAATGACACATTATAGTGTCAGTGTTCATATACTGTATGGGTGTGCGTATGTAAAAATAGTTCTCCCAAAAATGAAGGTTTTGTCACTCACCATCAAGGTCTGGAATGACCACATGCCTTTATTTTTCCTGTGGAAAACAAAATGATAAATTGAAGTGCCATTTACTCAGTTCACTGATTTCCCACTGTAAAAAAGTGATTAGTTACTTAAAGCGAGTAAAACAATTGCCTCAAAAGAAACGAGATGACTTTACAAAAATAATGTAAGTAAACCCATTGTAACTTGGAACTGTTAAGTTGAATTTGTATAACTATGCAAATTGTACTCACTTTTTTTAAAGTCAACTAATCCCTTTTTACAGTGTCAGACTAATTTAGCATTTCTTTTTTTCAAATAATTACTGCAATTATTACAATGTTACATATTTGGTGCTTCATTGAGTCTATAAAAATCTACGATTATAGCCTATATTGAATTTAGAAGACACACTGGAGTCTGGAAGAGCAGATTTATTTTAGTTACTTTTATTTTGCTGGATACAGAAAAGCTGAAAAAAAGTAATATTATAAATGTGTATTGGAAAAAGTAATTAGTTTACTTTTATTTTTTAAAAAGGTGAGTACAATTTGCTGAGCTTAACAGTTCTAAGTTACAATGGGTTTACCTACATTATTTTTGTAAAGTCAGCTTGTTTCTTTTAAGGCAATTTGTACTTTAAGTAACTAATAATTTTTTACAAAGTATTCACTATGAACAAGGACATGAGCTTTCAATCATCATATGACTGGTTTGTATAAGAAACAGATTTCAATTTAAATTGTAATTATCTATTGTTAATGGCAGCCTGATTGCCCGCTTGTGTTCTTGTGTACATTTAGATGTATTTGACAGAAATCCTTTCATAAACTGAAAAAATATATATTTCTGCAAAACTGTTGCAAACAATTTATGTGCTGAATTTAAACAAAAAATTAAATGTAGTAATGTTCAACTTAATTTGTTTGTTTAAATTCAGCCCAAATAAAAAGATTACAACCACTTAACGTAGAAAATGAGTAAATCAGTGGAGATATACATAATATCTACAGTACACATTTTGAATTAGATCGAACCAAGGTCTAATAGGTTTATAATAACACGAGGGACTGAACAACCAAAGAGGAAAACTCTGTCAATTACTCATCCTCCACACTGACTTCTTTTTCTTACTATGTCAATGGCCACTGGTTTCACACATTCTTTAAAGTGCCCTGTTTTGTGTGCAGTGAAAAAACAAAGTCATAAAGTTTTGAAACCACAAAATTTTAACTTCTGTGTGAACTATTGTTTTAACTACTGGAAATGAGTCATTGGTTCAAGAGAACCACATCAAATTTTGAATGAATCGTTCATTGAAAAATCTTGATTCATTCAAAAAAAATGGACACTACTATTTACCTTAACAATGTGCCAAGAAGGGTTAGGTTGGAATGCAAGATTTATATTGAATAACAATGGGATTTTAAAGCTACTTCTTTCACAAAACTGCCACAAAAGACTTGAAATATTGTCTTATGGAAAAACTTTTTATGGAAAAAGTTCTGATTTGGATTGAAACAAAAGAAAATCAAAGATTTGGATTGGGTTCAGATGATTTTAGTTTCCTTCTTTGTGTGATGTATTCACAAAAATATAATGACTGGTTGGATGGATCGATAAGTGAGTGATAGACAAAAACAAGCTAAAACCTCACCTGACCCAAAGCCGAGCAAAGCAGCCAGTTTTCCTCATAATATATTCATGGTTTCAGCCTCTAAAATTCTTTTACCCGCACACACACTCTCTCTTCCACACACACAAGGCTTTTTTGTGTTGGGCAAAAGCAGTGAACCAGATCAGTCCAGTTCTGGAGCCGCTCCGCTGTGGCTTTGGTGGAATTGCTGGGTGGCTATTGCCAGTAGTCAGACTTTTTTTACGAGAACGAGTGAATGCTTTGCCGTTGCGTTCATACAAAAATATGTTTTTGTGTGTGTGTTTGTGTGACAGGGGGTTAAACAGAAAGCAAGTGAGCGCAGCTTCTGGAATGGAGTCACACATAGTTCACCATGATGAATGCCAACTAAAACTATCAGTCCCAGCATGGACATAATGAACCCCACATTGAGGATTCAGATATCACCAAGCAAAGCGTTTAATTGAATGTACCTGTTTGAAGATTTGCAAGTCTGTGTTTGTTCCGCTGGTCAGTGCTATAACAGGATAGGAATGTGACTCAAGCCCTTTGTAATGACAGGCCGTGGAAAAGCCATAGCACCTCTCACCCTCATCGCCACTTCAGTTCTGTCTCTCTCACTCATTCTCTCCTTTTTCCTTTCCCTTTCTCTATCCTTCCATCCCTCTGTTTCAAGCCTTCATAATAACAGGGTGGGGAATCGCAGAACATTTACCCCCCTTTAGTCTAACCACTCCTTCCAAAGCCGTCATTCTTTTGTCTCATTCTCCCTCTTTCAACTTTTGGCATGTTTTCTTTTTCTCCATTCTTTCCCTCACCAATCCTCACAATGGTTTTTCAGGCAAATAAAATCGTACGCTTTGAAGACATACTATTTTTATGTGTTTTCTTACCCCTCTCCCCCATTCACCCCAAGTACGTTTAAATTGCTTCATTGCAGGAGCAGCCGCCAACTCTGTTAAAGCTTTTATGACAATAACCAGAATTTATCAAAAGTTCTTGATTCATATTTACTTTCCCTCTCTTTTCATGATTATCGTGTACCAATTTCGGTGATTATTTCCCAAAGGAGAGAAAAAAATCACATTTCATCTGCTCTTCCGATGATAATTCAGAGAAAATGTTTTAAAATAGATCTCAACAATACCTGAACTTTGATTATATTTATGCAGTTTCAGCATAAACAGGCATCAAATCATTCATGAAATATGAAAATAAATCTGTCATAAAACAAAATGTCACTTATTCCTTTGAGGGAAAAAATTATTTGGTCTAGAAATCATTCGATTATGCTGATTTGATGTGTGAAAACAAAATGTATCATTAATGTTGAAAAGCTCTGAAAAAAAGTTCTTTTCTGCATCGTTATTTCTACTCCGTTTTTATCCAAACTTATATCCTTTATAGGATCTTTATGAGTATAAAGTTTAAAAGGCATTGGAATTAAATGTCTGAAATGGAACATTGTCTTCACTGTCCCATTTAAAGTTAAATATTTATATTAATTTTCTTAAAAAATTTGTACTAACCCCACAATTTTAAGTGGTGTAAGAAGAAGTCCCTCAATAATATGATATTGCTCTACCTATTATATCTTTAATCTTTGGTTCTGTTTCTTTCTTTCTGTGTCCCTGTCATACTTCCCCTGGTTTACTTCACTTCAGTAGATTTTATTGGTCTGACCAGCACACAGTTTCCCTCCATTTAAACAGGCACAATTTGTCAGAAAAAAAGTTAAATACCAGACTTAACATTTACACACAGAATTTAACATGCAGTGCTAACAAAATCTATGGTTTTTGTGGAACAATCAGGCGTATGTTAAAAGTAAATGCTGCTCAAAATAAGTTAGCAATGTTTATAGATGATATAAAGGTACTAAATCAGTCACAAGGACAATACCTTTAAAAAAAGGATGTGTCATTTACATACAAATACGTTCACTTTAGGTAATTATATGCGCTTTTAAAGCATCCCTATTGTGCTTTTTAAATTGATACATGTGTACTTTGACCCGGCCACAAAAATATAATATAGTTTGTATTGTTGACATCATCGTTTTTATTCATGTATTTTTTGACGATTCAAACACATATTTTAGAGCATATGCACTTTCTCAAAGTCTAACCACTAAACTTGTGCAAAGAATCTAATAATGTACATTTTGCACTTTATTGTTAATGCAATTTCCTATTTAATTTTGGACACACGTGGTAAGTGGTTGACCAATCACAACAAAGCAATCTTACCAATCAGAACAGACTCACAGAAAGGTAAAATTTAAAAATAAGAAATCTCTGAGAAAGGATGTAAAATTTGGATAATGAGTAAGTGAGTAAATGGTTTTTAATCTTTGATGTAAACTTTTTTCTCCATGTCATCTAGGCATGCGCTCCTCTGTGGTCCCAGGAATGTGGAACATCTCTGTTCAGCACAGGAATCTGTGCATCTGTCACCAGTGACATGGAGCCCAATGACGTCATTGCACCAACGGCACAGAGTATGATAAACATCCTAAAAACCTCTGACCTGTTTCTTTTAAGCAAAAAAGTGCATTTAACTAAACATTTGTTGGTGTATTTTTTTTACAGGATGCACCACATACATGGACATAGTGATTGTTTTAGATGGCTCTAATAGCATCTACCCCTGGTATGAGGTGCAGAACTTCCTCAGCAACATACTCAGCAAGTTCCACATTAGCCCTGAGCAAATGCAGGTATCATGGTGCTTATTAATGATGCATTTTCTGTTTTTAACCATTTATTATGTGCACTGAAAAAATTAATCAAAGATGGTTCCTTCGATTTACTAAATAAAAAATATATAAAGTTAAGTGGCTATAAAGAGTTTATTTGGGCTGAATTTAAACAAACTAATTAAGTTAAACATTACTAAATTTAAATTGTTTAACTTCAACACATATACATTTTTTTTGCAACAATTTTGCAGACATTTTTTCAGTATGGATTAAAAATATGTAAGAACTTCGTTCAGATTTGTCGGATAAAATGTTTTTATGGTTCTAAATGAAGGTTATTTTATGCACTTGCAAGTTAGCTTTAAGATTTTTGATTGAGTTACAATTTGACATGATGTGTCATATGGCTGGAAGATAAGGCAAAAGTTTATATCACAATGTATTTCTTAATTTCGGTTGATATTATAGAATTCCGATATCGATATGGACAATATTAAATAGAAAGTAAAAAACTGGCAAGAACACACACAATAGATGTCTGTACCTACAAATGTCTGAAAACTGAATTTGCAAAGTCTTAATACCTCCAGGCTTTTATAACATTTTATTTAAAAAAAAGTACAAAAAAATTAATGTTCACCTTTTATTTGTATTTAGCCTTTACAAACAGATGAATATATTCATAGTTTTGTTGCTTTTCATCTTGAATGTCCTTTAGGGTTCTATCTGTTTATTTATATTCATGTATGTAATTACCTAATTTAATTAAAAGGTTAACATAAAATAGTTCTTATAAAATTTAGATAATATTTTGTATAACACATATTTATTGTTTAAGAGATTGAATATCTCTATTAATGTAACCATCTGTGTTAGCTTCATTGTCTTCTCTTCTGACACCACTGGTTTGGTGAGGCGACAGGTTGGCTTAAACTTTTATGATGCCTCATCTTTTGACTCTCAGTATGTTCTATCAGGTGGAACAGATTTGACGTGTTCCCGCTGCTAATCGGCACCACTCTCCTGCACATCTTGCAGAGCACGCAAAATATAAATTTATCGGAACTTAAAAAGCCGAACCACTTCCACACCACTGCATTAGTCTTTCCTTTCTCATCAACTAATTCGTCTGCTTTCTTACTTGTTCTTACTTGCTTGTTTATTTACATCTGTATTCAGGGCTCTCATTTTGTAGCAAAAAATTTCTGCGAAGAAGCCAACTGCTGCTATATATATATATATATATATATATATATATATATATATATATATATATATATATATATATATATGTGCAAATTTATATGGAAATACCGGAAATGAGTTTCAAAATCATATCACTGTTATTGAAAAAAATCTATCGCAACATATATTGATATTGAATTTTTGTCCAGCCCTGATGTGTCATGAATATTTATTTGAAAAATACATGGCCACAAAATGGGCAAATATCAGGAATTTACAAAAGTGTTGGTATAGAAAGCATTTAAGGTCGTGTACAATTCCTATTTATTTATTTATTTATTTATTTGTTTTTGCTGTCCGTGGGAATCAAACCCACAAACTTGGCATTGCAAAAACTGTTATACTAGTTGAGTTAAACAATTAGCTACTTTTTTTGTAGTTACCTTTTGTTGTTGTTTACATATTACAGTATGTAAGTTAGAAATTGTTTGTGTTAGCAATCTGTAAAACTTGAATATGTATAATAATAAGATGTATGTGTAACAGCAACTGGAAAGGTCATGTCATTTTATTGGTCTGAGAACGCTGTTCAAACTGCATGATTGTAGGTAACAGAGACCTGGCTGAGGTTTTGACAGACATGTAGACCTGCTTTTTAACCTTAAATCCTGTCATCAGCAGCTCTAACTTCCATCTAGCTTTGATGCATTGAGCTGGTATGAGCGACTTTGAGTAACAAAACCACAGTCAAGAACTCAGCCCGACCAGAAACAGCACTGGCAGATGGCGAAAATAAATCACATTATTAATGCGAATAGACAGAACTTGTGGTTTCTAGAGGAGAAGGACAAAGAGGGACAGAGTTTGAAATGTATAAATGTAAGGTAGATGAAATGTGTTAGACCAGAAAGAGAGAGAATTTGGACTAATGGATGCATGGATAGACAGATGGACTGAATGAGAGATGGATAAATGAATGTGTGTTTCTGTGTGTGTTTTATTTAAGCTATTTAAGGCGTTAGGCAGACTGGGGGCAACATGAGGTAAAAGGAAATTCCTTTGGTTTGTGGAGCAATTCTTGCTCCGGCAGTTTTGGGCCTTCATGTTGGTGGGCAGAGCGCATAGTGGAGATGCCAATCTCATCTCGTTTTAGAGTTATCAACAACATACAAATTGCTACTTCTGTGTGTTATACGGAAATTACCTTAAACCTCTGCAAGACCAGTGTTTTTCTTTCTTCTTTTTTTTTTTCTTTTAATGTCATGGACCCCCAAATATGGTGATTATCTGTTCCTAAAATATAAAGGCAGATATATACACTACTCTGCAAAAGTAACAGGGTTAGTATGAATACAGTCTATGCACTGTATAGTTACCATAGAAAAGCTTTAAATCTGTCAGGTTAATAGTATTTAACTTTTCTGTTAATAATGCTATTCATGCTAACATGCTAACAACATGCTAAGAACATTCTAGCAGCATGTCAATTCATGCCAGTTGTGTGTTAAGACATTATACACTGTTGTCATTACTAAAGATATTAAGTCAATTTATCTTGACATTACTTGAAATACCAAATTTTGGCTTCAAAACTTTAATAGCTGTGTTTAACTTACTCATTAGGCAGCAAAAAAAACTTTTAATTAATATTTTAAGTTCTCTGAACTTAACATTTTATGTTCTTTAAATGATTCAGCAGGTCTCTATTTAAAATGATTGGTTGCGCTTGAACTTCTGCCCTGACAATCTTGCTGATTGGTCGTTATTTGTTATATGACACAAGGTGGTCATTTTGTTTGTGATGCTGATTTTTGCTGAAGAGCAGCAGGACAGAGGCATGTCTGAACTGATCCAACGAAAAAGAAAAGTTAAATTAGTAAGAAGATATTTAAATACATGCAGGGGCAACAAGGTAGCGCTGTGGGTAGTGAAGTTGCCTCATAGCAAGAAGGTCACTGGTTTGACTCCTGGCTGGGTCAGTCGGCATTTATTTGTGGAGTTTGCATGTTCTTTGTGTTGATGTGGGTATCTTCCAGGTGCTTTGGTTTCCCCCACAGTCCAAAGATATGCGCTTTAGGTGAATTGGGTTAGCTAAATTGTCCTTGGTGTATGTCTGTATGTCTTGGTCCTCCAGGTTGAGGGTTGAGTGTTAGGCTAAGGACCCACCTCGTAAAAATTAGATGTTACGAAACACCAACATGGTGTGACTAAATATCAACTTTAATATAAACGGCCATGGGAGTAAGCAAGTAAAGAATATAAACGCTGCAAAATGTGGACGTTTGGTCTATTAGCCATTTTAAGTTATCTGTACTTAAACACTGAAGTTATCTGTAATTAAACATATAAGTTAAGTCAATGAAGAGACCACATTTGGTCAGCTCAGTCGATTTCCCATTACTAAAAAGAACTGAGGGCATCACTTACCCTAAATCATTTGTGTAGTCTCAACTTATTAGGGTTTACACTGTATAAGTATGCTAAATCTTTAATCTTTCCTCTAAATTGAATCTTATAGTTTACAAAGCTTTGAATATTCAGACAAGGCCTTCTTAATCTAGATCTAGTATTATTTGACAAAAAATATTATGAAACAAAACATAAGATTCTTTGGTGGAGGCTCTGTCTGTAGCTTGAATCGGAAGCTTTTAGATCCAGCTATGACTGCCAAGGATGAAGGCAGGGGCGGAGCTTACCCCCCTGGACAGGGCCAACCTGGTGGTGGTGAGGAGGATGGTTGGTGAACGTCTGCGTCATTATCTGAAACCAAACGAATGAAATAAATGGACAGCTTAAATATTCTTTGTGTCTTGTGGCTATTGGTTGGAAATGATTGTGAGGTGACATTAGGTCTTCCTAATAGAACTAGTGCTAAAAGCTACATTGCTGTTTAAAACTACAGTGCCAAACAAAATGACAAAAAAGATCAGGCAAACAGATGGCATTGATTGAGACAATATTATAAAAGTCATACAATTAAAACTTGTATTAAAACTTGTATGGGTGTGTAGGTTGGTGTCTTGCAGTATGGGGAGATTTCGGTCCATGAGTGGTCTCTCAGGGACTATCAGACAACAGCAGATGTGGTTGAAGCCGCCAAGAACATCAGCCGCCAGGAGGGACGAGAGACCCGGACAGCCTACGCCATCCAAATGGCCTGGTATGGTGACCCATTGCTCACTCATTCAAAACAAATGTTGCACAGCCTTTTTGAAAGGTATCACTTAATCCACCTTCTGCCCTTTCCATGATCCCACACCTCACCCAGAGATAATGTAAAGTGTAGCATAGTTGAGTCTGTCTGGTCAATAGTGCCTTTGTTTTTATGTTGATGCTTTCAAAGGTGCCTCCTCAGATCTGTAATTCAATTCCTTCCCCAGAGGCTCGCTTTGCACGAGCATAGATTTGTTTAAAGAGACTCAAGATATTCGCTGCTTTCTGGGTCCCAAGCACACTCTTTCCTTTTCTGTAATGTCTGCTTCTGTTTTTCTTTTTTTATTGGTTTCCCAATAACGAATCCCTCCAACACACACACACACATTCATACACATGCCAGAGACTAACCATAGCTGGCACTTGCCGACCACAATAGCAAAGGCTCACAAAATGAAACTTGTCTCATATTTTCAGGGACTGCTGTAGAGAAACTTTCTGCTGTCTAGAAATGAGATTTAAACAATACAGCCTAATTAAAGTCAAGCGGTGCTTTTAAATAGGATCATGTGATGGATGTGAGTTTAAAAAAAAGGGGGGGGGGGATAAGATGTGAAAGCCATATGAGCAATGCATTACCATGTTAAAATTGCAAAAGTTCAGAATCAGTTCCTAAATCTATAACAAAAAACATTTGGCCGTTTCTTAAGGGCGATCTACTATGCAAAAATCACTTTGAGAAAAGGTTTCAACTCAGTTGTGTAGCGAGTCAATCAATCAATTCTGGTTTTATAATTAAACTTAAAAAAAAATCCCTTTGTACATGTTATCAGAGGGGGAAAGACCCCATCCATTATTGACGATCTCTCCTTCATTATCATAGACAGCCCAGAGTTAAGCAGCCATCTGTAAGTAGAGTTTTGAATCTGCCACTATGCTGACACACAGGTGTTTACAGCTCCACCCTCTTTTAAAAGCACAATCACATTTGAATTTAAAGAGAAAATCACCAAAATTTTGTTCAAAGCCAAGAGTTTTAAAACTGTATTTGTGGGGTATTTTCAGCTTAAGCTCACATTCACACTTTTGGAACATCAGAGAATTAGTTTATTTCTTGTTAAAAGAGGCATAATAGGTCCCCTTTAAAATGCATTATAAAGCGATTCGGTGTCCTAGTTTTCTCATTTAACATCGCCATCAACCACTGCAGTACAATTACAATACTCAAGAACGCAAGTACAGAGGATGCATAAAAGGAACGACTTTACCGGTATATTCAAAAAAGCGCTGTTCACACAGGCGAGGACGTTACGGCAATTTTCCGGAAAAGAGCATTCACACATCCATTCCAAAATACCGGTAAATTCTGACATCATTCACCACAAATGAGCTTAAAACGGCTGCGCTTGTATTTGTAAACATTTGACTAAATTACAAACTCTGTGGATGATCAATATTGTGAACAACTTTCTCAGGATCACTTTCGCATGTCGAGATGTTCATAATATGTGCGTGTGCAGGCGCTCACAGGCTGTTTCACAGGCACACGAACGTAAACAAACAACGGCTTATCATAAGCATCTCATCGATGATTATTTACACAGTTGGCATTAAGAAGAACATATAAACGTGACCTGACTATCTTCCAGCAGCTAAATGTGTCTGGAAAAATATTCAAAGGCTTTTATTCTCACAAACCGCACGGACGTAAATGCGTCTGACTGTTGTGATTGGCTTAAGCAGACGTTTCACGTCAGCACGTTCTAGACGTGCACGCGCTTATTACGGCAATCTTCCATCTGCATTCACACAGCACAGCATTCCGGCAAATTGCCGGTAATGTTACAACTTCTCTTTCCGGAAAATAGCCAGAACGAATTTACCGGTATTTTCAAAAAGGACCTGTTCACACATACAATTTTCCGGAAAGGTCTGTATGTGTTAAAAGGGGCTAATGGCTCTCATTAACTAGTAATTGAGTATTTATTTATTTATTTTTTTCATTTTTATACACACATTTGAACTTCTTACGCTCATTAGCTCTTTCTTAAACTCATTCTTCTATTAATGTATTTGTGATTTTCTAAATGAACATTCACATGCACAAGGATAGTCATTTGTATAATACATGTCCAAACCAGACAATTATGGCACTGAAACAAAGGATGAACAAATCTGTTTTATTTACATTGTACAAAGTATCTTTAATGACAAGGATTTTGTGTATTATATATGTGTTCTGCCGGTTTTCCAAGTTCGGTTTTCCAAGGTAAACTGGCAAGACCAGCCTCTGCAAAAATGCAAGACTTTTTTCTTTATTCTTGAAATTGAGAAACAGCTAATTAGAGCACTTTTGGCCTGTAAATTCTGATTACTTCTCTTTTTTTGACCGAATAGTCTATTTTAGAACAAATAAAACATTTTTGTGTCTTAAAAATATATATAAATAAATATTTAGTATGAAACAGTGCAGCTTGTTTGTCTGATTTGGCTCTTTTGGCATAAAACTTTTAGTGGATAAACAACATCTAATATAACTACTATCATTACATCAGAAACCCAGACCTAGAAAAACCAGTGTAGACAAATTTCAGAACAAATGATTCTTACAAACCGATTCCTTTAGTAAACAGTAAATAAATAGAAAAGTATGATCAGTGTAGTTTGATTCAGGAGCAAATGACTCTTATGAATTGATTGATTTTAGTAAATCAAAAACAGTACGTGTAAGTAGTGTTGACTGATTCCAGAATAGTCCCAACCACCAATTTGTCCTATAGTAAATCAAAAACATAGTACAAACAGTTTGATTCTTTAGAGAATGACTCATGTGAACTGATTTTTGTTAGTGAATCAAAAACATACAGCACAAACAATGTAGTCTGATTCATGACAGAGCTTATGACTTATGACATCATACAATGTATATAAAAAGAAAAACAAACTGTTCAAGAATCAAGTCTGAAACACTCCTTCGCTGTCTTCTCCACAAAAGTTTGGTAGGTTTCATGGACTTTTTTGCTTGATCTTCCAGGGCTTTCACTGTTTGGAGGGATTGTTTATATGTTTGCGGTGTGTGTCTTTGTTTCTACACTATTAAAGGCTCATTTAAGACATTCCACTCTGCGACAGACACACTCTCTCACGGAAGATGAAGTGATAGCAGTAGTTGTGTGAGGTGAGGAAGGTTGTCATAACATTCAGGTTTGCTGATGCAGAGAGAAGAGAGCTGGTTCAGCAGAGCCGCAGGTGTGGTCAGCAACCAGTAGACTTAGCTTTCGTCCATGCAGCTGTTCAAACACACATGTACATATCCACACACACACACACACACACACACACACCAACACGAACGTGAGAGAATTTAAATATAGTAATTAATTCAAACACACAGTAAAATGAAAGAGTGTGAGTTAAAAGCCACATAAAACCAGATGTAGCACTCAATAAAAAAGCAGCAGCCTTTAAATAACACCAATTAACAGGCTTATTTGCTCAAATCACTTTCCCTGCTCTTTCTTTCTTTCTTTCTTTCTTTCTTTCTTTCTTTCTTTCTTTCTTTCTTTCTTTCTTTCTTTCTTTCTTTCTTTCTTTCTTTCTTTCTTTCTTTCTTTCTTTCGTTCTTTTGTTCCCCTTCATGGGAACTACAATGCAGGCAACCAATCACTCTGAAGGGTAAGAAAACGGGCCAATAAATGAAAAATCATTGGTGGAGCTCAGCTGTCAGCGATTAGCCATTAGTGGGATACACCAGCTGGCGGCTAAAGAGTGAGCATTAGAATTTTGCTTCCGAGCCCCTCACGAGACTGAAGAATCCTTCTGCCGACCTGAAATCTGACAAAATAAAAGCAGTATCACTTACAAGTGTGGAAGAAGACGCGACACTGGCGGTCAATCTAGGCTTTCGCTGGTGTACTCAAAGAGCAGTTTCCACTAAAAGAGCAGAAATCCCTAAGTGAGCAGCAGCGCGTCTTTTTCAAGATGTCGTTCTGACTGTGCGTTTCTGGATGCAATGGTTTCCTCACCCCGGATGACAGGCACGAGCACTGGGCAGTGCTCGCAGACAGTTTTTGCCCTCACTGCAAGGGCTTGCTCTTCATGGGCTTGCTCTGATGAAGATCCAAATCTCCTGCCACTATCTGGGGTTGTCAGCAAGGTCTCAGATTTGGAATCAGACATGTTGGCCATGTTATTCCAGGCTGCTTAGGTCGTAGGACTGGAGATGGCTTGTTCCCATGCATTGCGGCTGGACCGCTTAGATGGTGTTACGTGGGGGCTAAGAAGAGGGCGAGACCCTCCATGCCTCCCATCCCTTTATTCCCGAAGGTACACAGTGAGCTCACGCAGGCATGGAGAGCTCCTTTATCTGCCTGTCCTCGTGCGCTCCTGCTGTCAGCATCTGAGTCTCTTACAGCCAGAGTCTACACAGCTGAGGGCCAGGCTGCATCCGCTCTGCACGCTATTTCACCTATGATGCATAAGCTCCGCACGGCAACCGATTATAATCTCATGACCACCAAATCCACGGCTCGTGCACTGGGCAAGGCGATGGCCACACTAGTGGTCCAGGAGCAACACCTCTAGCTATACCTGGCAGATATGAGAGACGTTGACAAAGCTCACTTTCTTGTTCGGCGACACCGACGAGGACCTTACCCAGAAGTTCTCGTGGTGAAGGAGCAGTTCAATGCGATGAGTGAGGTTATCTATCAGCGGGCTCGGAAATCTGCTCTCCTCGCTGCCCCATCCACCTTGGCTGCTTCTCGCCACAGGCATACACTTGCAGCTCCAAGATCTACTCTACTTCCGCTGTCCACTCCACTGACTAAGTGGCAATGCTGAGCCCCCTGCAGAACTATGATGCCCAGGGCACCGTTAAGTCTGGTAAAAGGGCCGCAAAGCGTCATTGAGATGGGCCATCCGGAGAAGAGGGGATTCATTTCTCTCACTCCAGCTTCATTTTGGGATCCAGGGAAGAGCAAACTTTGCCCCATGAAGATCTCTTAT